AAGGGTGCTGGATCCCCTAGAACTGGAGTTGCAGACAGTTGTTAGCCACGAACCCAGGTCCTCTGCAAGAGCAGTCAGTGCTCTAAACCGCTGAGCCATCTCTCCAGCCCTGAATATCAAAAATTTAACCAAAAGTACTTTACTGAATCATTTTAAATTCTCAAAAATTAGTTAGATATTAAATACTTTTAAACACATAAGCATTCAGTGCCCATGGAGTTGACAGTGGGACACATCACACTCATGGTGCCCTGAGTTTAAGAGTAACATGAATTGTTTCCTGTTGTGATGTACACTTCAGCATCCCTGGCCCAGCATTGTGAAAACCGTGTTAATTCTTATCTCCAGAGCCAGAAACTGGAACATGACGAGAAACAAGAAAATGAATGTTGGGCGCAACTGGAAAACAGTCATTTGCTATGCAAGAATCTACTGCGTTCAAGCTGAGAGGAATGATGTGACAAGTTAATTAATTTGCCTTTTCTCCTACCCAAACACTTCTGCTCAAATGCTCTCTGAAGCTGTGTCTATTGCTGACACTGTCAGAGGTGAACAGCACCCTGTCTTCCCACGATTGGATGCATTTTTTCTAAGACCCAAGGTGAGGAAGGAGTGAAGAAGGGTTTCCCTGCACCTGGTTGGTGAACGCTAAGGGTTCTTAGGAGTACAGATGGGGCTGTGTCAGTGCTGAGCAGCCAGCCCATCACAACTGGCAGAGGAACTTACATGGTGTGTGTGTGTGTGTGTGTGTGTGTGTGTGTGTGTGTGTGTGTGTGTGTTATATTCAAGACCCTCCAAACATAAAGCTCTGATCAAAGCCTATGTTGAGGGGTCAGGTAGTATAGGAAAGCAGGGGTGTGGAGAAGTTGGGGAGGTCCCCACAATCACTTGAAGATTTGACCTTTCATTAACACATTCCTGGGAATCAGCACATGACAATTCTCATGATCATAATTCACCATAGTGAAGGATCCAAGGAAGAATCAGCAGAGAAAGGCCTTTGGGGCAAAGTCCAGAGGAAATCCGGAACAAGTGTGGAGAACCCTCTCACAGAGGATCCCAAGGATGTGCTTTGTTTCCCTGGCAACCAGAGGTGAGAATTCACTTACTGTGCATCTTCCAGGGAAGCTCACAAGACCCTGAGCCCAGGGGCTTACCTGGCACTTGCCACAGGGTTCTTCTGCCCAGCTTGTGCCAGTGTTGCAGACCCCAGAGAGAAGGCAGGTATTGCACCTGAGTCATGTTGGGACAACTTAGGCCCCGTGTGCCACTCTTATCAAGGACTGGAAGGGCCACTGTATAAGGGACACCTGCCATGTGCCAGCCTTGCATGCAGGCCTTTCTAAGGAGAACAACTTAGCACCTCTCTTCCTCTCAAGAAGTGGAATATGACAAACAGCGGTCTTCATTTCACCTCCCTTCAAATTCCACCTGCTGGAGTGGAAGCAGAAACTAGTGGCCAGAACAGAAACAGAGCTGGAGAGCTGACTCTGACCTTGCCTAGATCCATCCCAATGGTCATGAGCAGTCTGAATCATTAATGTTCACTCTCTGTCATGTGTATAGACAGCATAATTTACTTCCCATTATTCCAGAAGGTGCTAACAAAAAGACAAGTATCCAAAGCTCAGGTTCAGATTCAAGCAAATCTAATTAATATGCTGTTTAAGAATGTGTTGTGGTGGGATTGGAGTGATGTCTCATTGGTCAAGAGCACTGGCTACTCTTCCAGAGAATCAGATTCAGTTCCCAGTACCCACTTGGCAGCCAACACTTGTCTATAACTCCAGTTCCACAGAATCTGATGCCCTCTTCTAGCCTCCGTGGGCATTGCTTGACACAGATTCACTTATATACATGCAGGCAAAACACTCTCTCACACACAAACACACAAATAATTTTTAAAAAGAATATCATGGGGTGGTGTGAGGTGGTGGGGGGAGATGGCTCACTGGGTCAAAAGCTTGCTGTGCAAGCGTGAGGACCAGAGTTGGGATTCCCAGCACCCATGTAAATGCCAGGTAGGCATGGTGGTAGCCTGCCTGTAATCTTAGCACTCCAGAAGTGAAGACAAGGGATCTCTTGAACAAGCTGATTAACTGGACTAGAGCAATCAGTGAGCCCAACTTCAGCCTGAGACCTAGTCTGAACTTATGTAGAAAAACTGAGGAAGACACCTCACATCAACCTCTGACCTCCACATGCACGTACACACACACACACACACGTAAATCCATACAGATATGAGCACACACACACACAACACGAAAAAAGAATGTCAATGGGTATAAACTACTTTCAAATGCAAGTGAATTCAGGATGGCTATTCGATGGCAGTACAGTACAGAGATCGGAGACAGCACTGTTATCACTAATGGTCTTCAGATGGGTGGTGGCTCACATGTCATGTTAGAATCATGGTTCAGTTAGAGGGTGGGGTGTACATGTAATCCCAGCACTTGAGAGGCTGAGACAGGAAGCCATCCTGGAATACATAGTCAGATGCTCTCTCTCTCTCTCTCTCTCAATAAAGGAAAAAAAAACCAACCAAACAAGCTTAGTGGTATAGATTTGGAATCCCAGATACTCTGGAGATTGAGGCAGAAGGATCTTAGTTCAAGACCTGCTTGAACTTCAGAGTTAGTTCAAAACCAGCCTTGGCTACTAAGTGAGACCTTGCCCCCAAATAATATTTTTTAAAAAGGGCAGTGGCAAAGTGTTTACCTAGCAGCAATTCCCAGTAATACACACACACACACACACACACACACACACACACACACACACAAAACCAGAATCGTAGTTCATAGCTTCATATGAAGCAGTTATGAACACACTGATATTCTCATACATACCATAAATGCACACTAAAACATTTTAATTTTTAAATTTTTACCATCTACTAGGGCATGATGACTTATTCCTAGAACTCAGGCAGCCAAGGGAGAGGACTGTCACATTTTAAAGGCCAGCCTATGCTACATAATGAATTCTAGGCCAGTCAGAGCTACAAAGCAAGATTCTATATTAAAAAACAAAATGATGCTCCTCCCAGAAGCCATAGATTACCAAATAAAAAGTCCAGTGCCAGGTGTGGAATACCTCCCCTCAAGTTGTTGGTCATGGATGGCCCAGAGATGCCCCAAACAATTCAGGATATTGCCATTGCTACTTGTTGCCCACCATAACTTGATGGTAAGACCCTATTGCTGAGGACACCACATACTTTGGTCATAGAACATGGAGCTATCAAGTGGGTACTGACCAGGAAGCTTCCTCCCTGCAAGCTAGCTTTCATATGGAAGGTTCTGTGCAGGCTGCTAGGACTTTTCATCAATAGTCTTACCCAGCTGTGAACCCTGTGAGCTACAATAATAACTGGCATGGCAAGATATGCCCATGTGTGCAATAGCGGCATGAATGTTATGGGGGATAACCAATCACTTTCTGATTGGATTTAAGGCCTATTCCATAGAAGGAAACACACACATAGGACTATAAACCTGGCCAAGAACTCATGGTTGGGGAGCTCACCGACCCTAGGAGGTGAATCTACTACTATTATTACACTAAATGGACATAGTATCAAATCGTCCTCTAAATTCATATCTCTATGCCCATAGATTGGTGCATCTATCAGACCTTGTCAGAAAAATTTCTTTGTGCCGTGGGCAATGGTTTGACCAACTCATAATTCATCAAAATGCAGAGAACATGTGGCAGTGGAAGATGGGACATCTCTCTCACCCTCACCACTACCCCCTCAAGTCTCAGGGACCATAGTATAAAAGGGAGCAGAAAGATTCTGAGAGCCAGAGATCAGGGAAGACCAGAGCAAAACAGTGTGTTCTGGACATGAGAGGACCACTTCGCTCATTAACTCATAGGAGCTATGGCTGCCTGCACAAAATCAAGCCAGTCGACTTTGACTCAAGCGTGGAGGGGGAAGGGCTCAATAGCCCCCACCCCTAACTGAGGCATGATTGGCAGTTGATGGTTTGGGGAGGAGGAAGAGTCAATTTTCTTTAAGGGTGTGGCCCCTGGTAGGTGACTAGGGTGATCACACCTCATCAGATGGCCCCATACCAATCAGTAAATGGCTGGCACTAATAGGACTTGGTGGGTCATTTTTTTTCAAAGAGGACATGAAGTTGGATAGGGAGATGGGAGTGAATCTGGAAGAACTTAGAGAAGTGGGGTGGGGGTGGATATGATCAAAATACACTGTATGAAATTCTCAATGAACTAATAAAAATATTGTATTTAAAAAACTAAAAGGCTGGGGGTGTAGCTCAGTGGTGTTCACTTGCCTAGCATGTACAAAGCCCTAGATTCAATCTCCACCAAACACACACAAAAAGAAAAAACAAACAACTAAAATAAAATGAACAACTACTACCTGAGTAATGATAAGTGACATTTCCAATTATAGGCACATGTGAGATGGAGTTCTCAATATGAAATGTCTACTCAAGCTAAAAAATATATAACTGAATTCCCCTAGATGCCATGGCCATCTCCAATCTCATGACATCAAGCTAAATATTCCTTTATTCCTAACTGCTCAAAAGGCATTCATTTTTTCATTGACAATCTCATTTTGTGAATTAACTTTTTTTTTTGGTCTTTTTGAGACAAGGTCCCCCTGTAGTCCCAGCTGTCCTGGAACTCACTATGTAGACCAGGCTGGCCTCGAACTCATAGAGATCCGCCTGCCTCTGCCTCCCAAGTGCTGGGATTAAAGGCATGTGCCACCACGCCCGGCTATGAATTAACTTTTGATTGTGCCAACTGACTTAATTTTTAGCACCCCACAGTCCATTACTTTAAATTTTACATGAATAATCTTCTTTCAGTATATATATCTTTGTAACCATGTCTTATTTATAAGTGATTTTCTATTTATGGTAGGGGTATAAATACTTCTATTAAAATACAAATGAATTAAAAAAATAAGGTTACACAAGCTAAAGTTTGAGAAAGATTAAAAGCACTCTATCCTGCTGGCTTTAGCAGCACATGTACTAAAACTGGAACAATACAGAGAAAATTTGCAAGGCCCCTGCACAAGGATGACACGCAAAATCTATGCATTCCATATTTTTTTTTTAAAAAGCGATCCATCAAATGATGGCACGGGTGGTATAGTGAGTGATGTGACATCAGTCATCCAAGAGGTGGATGACAGCACCAGCCAACGCCAACTGGCAGTCAAGTACCTAACACCTAAATTTAACTTGCTAGACCCCTCAGGAGGCCAGAGTCACAGGGATGATCTCCATTCTCAGGACATTTCTGCCTGGAAGAGCAATACATGAGGATCAATTACTAAGGTCACCAAGCCAGGCATACAGGGTTACCTAGTGAGTGAGAAGGAAGGGTCAGGGTTTTAAGGTAACAGCTGTAGCCCTGAGTTTGATTCCCAGCACAGCATAAACTGGGTATGGTGGTGCATTCCTGTAATCTAAGCAGGAAGTAGGAGCCAGGAAGGTCAGAACTTCAGGTCCTCTACTACAAGTGACTGCCACACCAGCTTGGGCTACATGAGATTCTGACTCAAAGAAAACTGTTTCCTAGTCTGCAACCAAGGCCAGTGTTTCCAGGGACTAAATACAGACCACAGGCATCTCGTGGGCATCACTGAGTTATCATCCTATATGATTTTCTAGAGCAGGCAGTGGGTACCAACTTTAACAGCCGAAGACAGAATGCCATGTGGCCTGCTCCACCACTGTATGGTCCCCCAGACATCCATGCTGCAGTGCTCGGCATCTGCAAATGTCCCCTTACAGGTGCTCTGGTTTCCTGTCTGTTGCTGTAATAGAACATTGTCACCAATGACAGCTTAGAAGAGGAAGAAGAAAAGATTTATTTAGCTTACGCTTCCAGGTCATAGTCACTGAGGGAAGTCAGAGCAGGAAACTGGAGCAGGAACTGAAACAGAAACCACGGAAGAATGCTCCTTGCTGACCTGTTCATTGGCTCATGCTTCATTAGCTTTCTTATACAGTGCAGGACCACCTGCCCAGGGAACAGTGTAGCCCACAGTGGACTGGGCCCTCCTACATCAATTAACAAACAGGGCAATCCCCCACAGACATGCCCACAGGCCAGTCTGATCTGGGAAATCCCTCAACTGACATTCCCTAATCAGGTGACTCTAGGCTGTATCAAGTTGACAATTAAAGCTGACTGGGACTCACAGTAAAAGGGACTTTGCAATTGTGATGAAGTTAAGGACATTGAGATTAGTCCCCGGAAGCAACCACAGGACCCTATAAAGGGAGGAAGAGGGGGATTTGATTACAGAGCGACAATAAGGCCACGTGACCCCAGAGGCAGGTAAGCACTGTAGCCAACAGAAGCCGGAAGCGGCCAGAAAAATCGATTCTCCCCAAGAGCCTCCTAAGGAAGCACAGACCTTTAGGCACCTTGGCCTAGACCTAGAAAACTCAGCACAGACTTCTGGACTCCAAGATTGTACCATAGAGAGCTTCATTTGTCTTAAGGCACAGGGTTCATGGTAATTTCTCACAGCCACCACAAGAAACTAACAGAGCTACCAACCAGCATGGGCAGAAGTCACGGCTAGAGGGAACTAGAAAAGCTACAGGAGGGAGCAAGTGCCAAGTGCATTGGAAAGCTTCAGGGCTTTGAGCTGAGGCTTCCTAAATGCAAACAGAGCCTGGGAACCATGAATGTGGCCTGGCTGTGCAGAATGTATTAAAGACACAGAGGCCAGAGGCAGGGAACTCTGCCAAGAGGTTCTCAAAGCAACTCAAGCGTGCAGGAGTGAGAGCCAGGCCCTGGGGATTAGCAGGGGAAAGGGGAGAGAAGACCGGCACAAAAGAAATTTCAAAGGCAAAATTGATGGGGCTTAGTGAAAGACTGAATATAGCAGATGAAGGAGAAATTTCTTCCAGCTGTTAGAGCAGGCACTGGCAGTGAGGGGGAACTGGGGTGACAGAAAAACATTTCTAAGTGTTTCTAACAATACCAGGAAAGCCTAACCTGACCCAGTGCCATGAACTGTGCTGCTCCAAAAGTCAATGAAATCGCCAGTGGATGAACACGTTGCATGGCCGGAGGAGAATGCTGTTGCCAGAGTTCCTGCTGATAAAATATGGAAGAATTTTTTCCAACCCACCTCCTGATCTCCCCTTTGCCTAAGGGCTCCAGAGGCCTAGGTTTTTAATGTGGGATCAAGAAGGGAGAATGGAGAAAAGGGGAGAAGTGGGGTTGGAATGACAAAAGAAAGAGCAAACAACAGCCCTGATCAAACACACTACAGATACTTGTTGGCTCACCATCTTTCCGGGCACTGGTCAGCATCCCTGCTCTGCCAACAGGGCCAGAGTTCTCACTTGGCAGCTCCTCCTTCCCTAAGGTTCTGGAGAATAAACAACACATTACAAGTGACCCTGGCACAGTGGGAGAATGCACAGCAAGAAGTCGGAATTGGACTTTAGAGAGCATCTGAGCTGGTGTACCCTAAAAGCAAGAGTTATGTAGAGCAGGGCACAGGACCTCAGAAAGGGTTGTAATCACCCTAGATGGAGAACAGTAATAACCACCGAGTTTTGTTCAACTCCTGCTCTCATCACCAGCCCCCATTTGAGGTATTCTTCTATAGGCCTTTCCTGACTATGCTGTAAAAAGGTGGTTGTCCCGTAGATCCCTCCATATGGAACCTGTCAAGACTCAGAGTTCACCCTGATGTGGTAAAGGGAGAAGAAAGGAGAGAGGGCCTGCATTGGGAATTCATATTTATTGTTCATCTCCTGTGCGAAGGCACCTGTTAAGACTCAGAGTATTTAGCCAAGGTGGCAGCCTCGGCCTCTGTCCCCAGGATGCTTATAAACATTATCCAAAGCTGCCTTTGCAAACAGCCAAAGAGGAGGCTTGACACAGAACCGAAGCCCTGTCATTTCCAAAATGACTGAGCTGGCAAACAGGCAAATATACTCTGGACCCAACCACAACTGTCATCCTTTTGAGTCTTTTTCTTCCTCAGAGCCTCCAACAACCTGCTGCACACCACACATGCATGTGGCTCATCTCTTCCAAATACATCCCCAGAGGAATTTCCTGAGGTTACTGGGAATCAATTTTATCTCAGCATTTTCCAGAACTATTGCTTTTTTCCTGGCCCAAACCCCTGCACATATTGATTGGCTGGTTCAACAACCATTTATTGCGTGTTCAGCAGGTGCCAGGTGTGGGCAAAGGGTTTAGCCCTGAAGGGTAAGGGGAGAGGGTCTCCTCACAGCCTGGGCTGGTGAACAGAAAGGGTCAGCCTGCAGACACAGCTGGTCCCAAAGTCCTGGACTGGGAAGTGACAGAGCTGGAGAGACTAAAGCCCAAGACCGCGAATGCCTATATTAACACCTCCATCACTCTGTCCAATTTGGTCACCAGAGCTTCTAGGAAAAGAGACATGGTTGGACCATTCAAATCTACCAAGAGTGGCATACCCATCATCTCTCTTGAATCCCATGGAGAACCTGAAAATTGGGCTTGTTTGTACCCCATTCTGCATATAAAACCATAGAGGGACATGAAACACCAGGATTTGGGTTGGAAAGATGGTTCAGCAGTTACTGCTCTTGCAGAGTACCAAAGTTGGGTTCCCAACACTCACATAAGGCTACCCACAACCACCTGTAACTTCAGCTCCAGGAGAATTTGATGCCTCTGACTTCTGTGGGCACTGCACTCACATTCACACACCCATATGCACACACAATTAAAAATAATAGAATCAAATATTTAAAAAGGAAAAAGAAATATAAGCCTGATATTTCTTTTGGGACTGGGGAGATGACTCAGTTGGTAAAGTGCTTGCCATATAAGCATAGACCCAGGTTAAAAAAACGAAAAGCCAGGTGTGGTGGTATGTCCTTTATAATTCCAGCACTGGGGAGGTGGAAACAGGCAAATCTGTGGGGCTCAGTGACCAGGCAGCCTAGCCTATCTGGTGAGTTGTAGACCAGTGAAAGACCCGGTTCCCCATCCCCCCAAAAGATGGACAGTATCCTAATAAAGTTGACCTCTTATCTTCATATATACATACATCATACATGCACTGCCACATCTCACACACAAGAAATATCAAGATTTGTGCCACATTAAGGCAAGAGCCCAGCACATGGGTGCAATATTAATCTTCTATTCTCTTGATACTGACCTCCTTGTCTTCTCCCTGGTATCGTGTCCCCCAACCACTGCCACCTCACCCCTAAAATCACACATATCCCTGCTAACCCCAAAGCATAATTAAATTCAAACCAGAGGTGGCTCTGCTCTACTCTCAGACCTGGCAGCAGGCAGCAAGCAGCAGGCAATTCTCCTGAGAACACTTAGTAATTTCCAAGGGAAATCTGACCATCAGTCCAGTCCAAAGGCCCCCGCCATGGTTTCAATTAGAGCACTGAGTGCTCAGCCCTCAGAGGCCAGGGAACAAAGGAGGTCCTCCAGGAGAGAAGGCTGACCTCTCTCAGCACCCGCTCTGTTCTGGCTAATATGTCAATAGCCTCTTAAACAGAACATTATGCGTCTGGGATTTTATTGTCAGACCCATTCCTTTTGGGTCGGGTTGAGCTTTTTTTTTTTTTTTTTAATCTAAAGTTGATTGCCGATCTCATTATCAAAGCCACCATCCATCTGTTTCCACTTTCTTAAGAGTTGCAGAGAGGAATAGCATGGAAATCTGCTTTTACTTGAGGTTTTAGGATTCCCCTCCCCTTTTAAACGTTGAGGATTGTTCAAGCCTTGGTGTTGTCACTGCAATATGATCTTCTAGTAGTGGGTGGCCCAGCTGTGCCATTTGAAACTAATTTACAACCTCATCTGAGATGATCGTCACTTTAAATTAATTAACCAGAGCACATCAAAAATTATATGATGGGGGGAGAGGACAAGGAGATGGGGAGGGAGCTTCAGAAAGGGATCCTCAAGCTTTGCTGGATCCTGTCCTTGAACACAGAGAGCTGTCTGCTTTTCTTTCCATCCACCTTTTGAAAGTAAAATATACACAGAAACCATAAAAAATTCAGCACTTTGGTTTTGAAAGCCTGCTTTGGGCAGATAAGCATTCCATGTTACTGG